TTCTCCCTAAATAGCCTGGAAAATAAGAAATGAAATAACTAAAGCTGTCTTGAAAAGCTATGGATACTACTGAGTAGAAAAGTATCATCTTTACATTCTTAAGTAGAAGCTTTATGGTTCGTATTCCTGACATTCTAGGAAAAACTACTTAAGGATTAGAGTACATATGAGTAGTACTGCAAACAAACGTCCCTGTGAAGAAGTGCAACTGCTGTGGTTATTACAAGGGCTATAACCTTTCCAGGCATCATGGGAATACTTTCGGAAAGTAAGCCTCAAGTAATCTGGGTTCCTATTGAGCACTTTGCAATAATGAAGAAAAAAAGTAATAATGTTGCCATTACCAGGCAAAAATCTGTGGCCTTCAGCTAAATAACTCCTACTGTATGTTGCCAAAAGAGGTGAAGACTCCCTCCACTATTTAGATGAGGAATCAGAGAAATTGTGCAGCTTCTTTAAATAGTGGAATGAGAGTTACAAAAACAGTAGCCAGATCCAGGTTTCCTGAGCTTCCAGGTATGCTCTCCATTCATTGGACATATGCCCCAGAGACAAAATGCTTTTATTTATGAGGCTGAACTCAAGATTAATCAGAAGAAAGTGAACAAGCATGATAGTCTGACTCATGTTGTCAATACAGATATACATGGCCAGTCACAAAGTTTATCCAGATAAGTATGTGTAAGGGAAATAGGTCTCTTTAAGTCTGTATCTTCATGCTCTCCGGATATTGCGTATTACCCAAGCACCCAAGCATCTGCCTTTGAAGTCAAAAGCTTACTATTTCATTAGTTTTCCTTTACTATTATTTATATATGTATATTCTTAATTGATTTTTTGGTTTCTTTTTTTTTGTTTTTTGTTTTGCTTTGTCTTTTTGCCTCTTTCACTTGAATCAGTTAACACAGAGACAAATATGAGCCCTGCTGTATAGTCCTACAGCCAATCCTGGGCACCAACAACATATGTCCAATCTTTATACTAGAGAAAATGAATCCTGGCACCATGGATGGAAACAAGACCCAAAGAAGTTTAAGTATCTCCAAGGAATCTCCTCAAAAGACAGTATAATATATATATATATATATGGTGCAACAGAGGAAAGCGCTAGTAAAACCAAAGAAGGTGGGGATCAGTAAGAGAATTAGAAATTGGCAGCTTGGACAGTGAGTGTGATAGGCCCCATTGTACAATGCGTGCCCAAGCATTTTTTTGCAGAGCCATGTCACACCAAACCATACTAACAGGAAAAAAGAAAAGTAGCTTCTTACAGAGAAGCACTGAAAAGCAAAGGCTTTGGAAGAACATCACTCCTGCCAGCTGAGCAAAGACAATACTTCCACAGCAGAGAGACTTACCAGATTAGCCTGTCAAAGATAATGGTTTCTAATTTCACGTTTTTGCAGAGGAAAAAGAAAGGGATATCTTGTGAATTCTGGTGATTCAGTGGGAGAATATAGAAACAACTTCTGGCAGATGCTCCAATCATGCTGACAGTTCTGCTCTATCTCCTTTAAAACACAAGGTTCTTCTTTTACCAAGAGCATTTGCCTTGAACCAACATTCTGCTGTAAGAAGTACAGTGGGAACCTAAGGAGCTAGTTCTGCAGTTGTACAGTGTCCCAAAGCAGTTGCAATTGCATTAGTGTATAGCTATACTTCTCTTTCTCTCTTCTTGGCAAAACCAATCTACTCACACAGCCATCCATACCACATAAAGAAGCATCTTGAAGATTGCTGCTAATTGATTATTTCACAAAATACCAAGAACAGTAAAGATAGGAATAAGCAAGCAAAAAAGTCTGTTTTAAGGAAATATTAGGGATATTATGTGTGTTCCTTTAGGATCAAGAGAGATTTCACTGTGAATGCAGCCTAAAAGAAATAAAGCATCAGTAGACTGTCCTTCTGTTAGCAGCGACATGTCTGGCTTTTCTTGGAAATTACATGACTAGCAGAACTGAATCCACACCAACTACATGGCCTGCATACCTTTCTGGACTTCTCATGTTGTATGGGAAGGCTTAAAGCCTGCCTCTGTGTGTGGCAATCCATCAAATGGCCTCACTGAGTTTTCTCTAAGTAAGAGAACTTCATCAAAGCACATCTTAAATTACTTACCACGGCATCATCTTTGGCTCAAATGAGAGCCCACATAGGGAAAGAAGCTGTAAGGGATGGGAAGGCGTGGGAACTGAAAGGAGACACATGGTAAGAGAAGTAGAGCCTCAAAAGAACCTATGTCATTTCTGTTTATAAGAGTAGCCTGTTTGGAGCACATACTAACAAGGAGGGTGGAGAGCTTGCTCAGGGTGCTTTTAGACCAACTGGGTGATCACAGGAATACAACAGAACAACAGCTGACAGGATAATGTGACAAAAATGTGCTGCAACTTTAGTTAATGCTGTACATACATACAAATCCAGCAGAAAGTTGGAAATGCTTTTAGCACTGTTTCAAAATCTGAAGCAGCAGCATGCCCAAGCCGCTTAAGAGCCTCACTTCCTTAGATTCTTAGCAATTCCTTACGAGACTTGAATGGTATTTCTATAGGAGCAGTAAAAGACTCATTTTTAAGTTCCAGAAAGCCTTCTTGCCAGCCAATCCATAATAGACCTCAGTTTCAGTTTTCTTTTTGCCATTTTGAAAATAAAGTTAAACAAACACAAAGAAAACCAAACAATAGCTTACCCACAGACAGTGAGTAGTACTAAAAAGCATCAAACAGAACTTTGTTACATTCTGTACTTGTTCTTTGCAAATTCAATTTTTGCCAGTAGACCATAAGATCTCAGATCCAAAGCCCCACAGTAAATGTCACCAACCCAATTAAAAGCTAGAGAAAAAAAGATCTTTTAGAAGAATCATGTAAAGAAGAACAAATAAAACTTCCAGTTTCTTAAGAGTTACCTTTGAATTACTGCTGCTCAAACTCATTAAGATGCTGTGCTATATATTAGAGAAAGAAAACATGTTTCATATAAATATAAATAAAAATCCCTTACAACAATGAAGAATGTTTTCCACATCTTCATTATTTCAGCAGATGTTTCAAGACTCTTGTAATTGCTCTGTACTTCTAACACTTCAGCTTATTTCTGGCCTGGTATTTTATTTCAGCATTGGATTCTAGAGCAAGGGGACCCCCAGCTGAGTTTTACAGTACCTGTGGAGTAAGCTGCTACTGCCACCTTCGGGAGGATTCTTTTCATGTACTTCAAGGAGATTAAGCAAATGTCATACAAAACAGTTTGATTTTTTTCATCATGCCTTGCTTGGAAGGTGACTTCTTAAAATCCATTGTCCGTGCTGACATAAGACATTCCAGATGCATCCTGTCATAATAATATTAATGCAAAGAAACTGCATTTTTCAGTGGGGAAGAATGGTAAGGTAAATTTAGCTAATATTTAAACACTGCCTTGCTTACAGTGTTCTTAATTTTACCGCATTTTTGCCAAGGTAAGAGCCCTGATCTACCTAAAGCTGAACAACTGAATTTTACATACAAGACTCCATTTCTCCTGCAATTCTAGCTTTCCTGATATTTTGAATCAATCCCTCCTTGTTCATGCACAGCTTAAACTGTCTCCCTGGCAGGCTACTATGTGGCTGCTTGGATGACGTACACTGCCTTAGCTCCAATGAGAGGCATTACTATGCATAAGAACAGCCTAACAAATGTGCTGAACTACATCGTGACAATTTAACCGAAGTCAAGACTTCTAGTCAAATCAAGTAAAGCATCCAGATTTTGTATTTGGAATATCCATAATTCTATGAGACCGACCTACTCTTGGTTTTCATGTGTCACCCTATAAGCATTCTTCTTCAATTCAGCAGAGAAAGGAACCTTGCTATACACTTTATATACAGAGAACCTGTGTAGGACTTGAGTTGTATGCAGTCTGCATTGTTAACCCTCACACTAGGCTTTTCACAGTAGGAACAGTAGGAGCAGCAGGTGCCCCAGCTACTTATACAAGGAAAGATTTAACGCCTCACCTCTCATCAAAATAGGGAAGTTGAAGAACAGGAGGCTGTCTAAAGGCAACTAACTTGTGTATGTACTCTTAAAAATATACAGCAACAAAATTTGTACACAGTTGTCTAAAGCCAGGCAACACAAAATAACTCATTCATGAAGAATAATGTGAGCTTACCCAAGGAGGCTGTTAAGGCACCATTAGCTCCTACCTTCCACCAAAACACTGGCTGTGCCTGTGGCACCATAGTGGAACCCAGACTTCCAGAAGAACTGAAGCCTTAACTACACTGCTGCAGGCTGAAGCAGACCTTGTACTGCATTAAACCTTGACTTAGGAACTCCCACACAGAGCTACATTTTGGATAACAATGTTATCCAAATGGGCTCTGGCAAGTGTCTTCACTTTTCTTCCCACTACAGAAAGTCTACATACCAGATTCCCGTTCTTTGATTATCAGATTCTTGGATTAAACACATCTGTCCATCAACCTAGAATTTATGGTCAGAGAGGAGCTACAGCTGAACCATTCTCTACAAACAGACACGCACTCTTCTGTTCTGCTACCAGAAACTAGTCATTAAAACACAAATGTAGATTTATTTCCCACTATGGCACAAAAATACAAATTAGTTACTTTCTTACCTGTGGGAAAAAGCCTAAAAAGTGAGTGATAGGTCTTTTCCGGGATATCTTTTTACCTTTGCTTTTAGTACTACTATAGCATAGCAAAGAATTACACTTGCAAGCAAAACATACCAAGCATAGCATGTGATCAAAGAAGGGATTACACCTATCTAGCCAACAGCAAATGAACATGATCGACACTGGTGCCAGTTTTCTTTTCTTCAACTTTCTTCCAGATTCACAAATGACTTCTGTGTTTTTATCTATTTTCAGATTATTTTAATCTACCTTTTTAGAGAAATAGCTTTACATCTGTATAAGCTTTACACTGTATTTTGAAAATACTGTAGCTATTAATTCATAATAAGAATAAAAGAAAGTGCACATACTCTTCATGTACATATATGTACGCATTCAAGAACATGAAACACAAAATAACCTACTACCTCCATTATTGCTCTCACATTAAACTGCTGGTAGAAATTAAGCAACTTTCAAAAATACCCACTTTTTATATAAAACTGCATTTGCATCAGACAGTGCTAAGTACTGACCAAACACAACAAATTGAATGAGGATCTATCAGTAATAGATTAACCAGATTAATGTGTGCGTAACAGTCTCAGTGTGGTACGTTGCTGCTGTAAGTTTCAAAGTTCACATATGAACTTCTTGCTCAGCACACACGGTTTATGAATGAAGCTTGAATAAAAAAAAGACTTTCAGAAAATATAAGGTAAGCGACAAACTATGAAATTAACCTAAGTGTTTAAGTGCAGACTGCATATAGGGAAAAAAGAAGAAAAATCCTTGGTTATGACAGCGGGAAGAAAGAGGTAGTAGGAAGGAATGCATGAATTCATGTCCGCCATCTAATATTATAATGTTACAGAAGATGAATACAATTCACATTTAGATCAATGAATGAACTGATAACAGTAACGTCTTGAAGTGTCTTTTTTTAAAGAGAATAGGCAGGTATTCTTAAGATTAAAAGTGAAGTGATAATGGAAAGTTCCATAAAAAATGCCAAATGCTCCAAGAAAGATCATGCAGAGAATTCAGTGTTGTCTATAACAAAATTAATATTTTAACTTAATAGTTCTTGCATATTTGGCTTTGCGCTGGATTTACCTCAAGAGACTGATTTAGGCATGGACTTAATAGAAAGTAGAATCACTGATCTGCTCAAGCAAAAATCTGAATAAATTAATTGCAGGCAATCTCTATGTACATAAGCACAGTATATTAAAAAGCAACCAACCAACAGACAACACATTGATTTCAACATCACTGATAACTTAAAATAAGCTGCTTATTTCACCAATTGCTTTTTCATCTGAAACACCAGAATGTATTTTGTCAACCAATATTTCTCTGAGATAATAAATGTGCACCGAAATCCATTAGATAAATACAGAAAAGAAGAAAATAAGATGCTTATTTGTGAAGTCATTTCCCTTCTCCAACCACTAGCCTATACTCTTCTTCCCCACTGTGCTACATAAGTCTGTATGATAGCATATATTTCCAATGCCTGGAGTCTAAATTTGGAGACTGAATCTGCAGCGTTAACTAGCTTCACTGTTGTTGCTGTTTTGTTTTTTATTAAGACATACTTCCTATATTTGCCTGTATCAGAATGCCCTTTTGGATCACTATCTATTGCAGTTTTAGTGGAAGCTGACAAAAGCTAACAGCTTCTAAGATATTTTCTGCTGCAGAAGCACTCCTTTAAAAGCTACTTCTCCCATACTATCTTCACGCCCCACCCTGGCCCCTCAAAAAAACAGTTACAGTCAGCTAGTAACAGCAGCATGCAGTTATCACTATTATAACTTCTTCCTCCCCTAGTTTTCCTCCTCTTTCATCACATTCTTCTGCATTTTCCACAGTTGTTATCAGCTCCTTTCCCCTCTGTTCTTTTTGCCCATCCTAAGCTTTTTCTGTCTCACAATGTTCCTAAATCTCTTCCAAAACCTGACTCTTTCCCAGCTCTTCATCCTCCATCAGTGCAGAAGCACAGCCTATCAGGCTGCTCTCCTTGTTGTGAGAACTGCCAGGGGGTCTTGCTTCTTCTGAGTGGGAGACTGAAGAAGGACAGCAAAGATCTTGAATCAGAGGTATGCGTGAGCTGCATCGAATGTCTAGAGCATACAGTCCTTAAAGATTTCAGGCAAGGAAAGGCACTCAAGAGACTGAATTCTTACACTTTTGCTGGATTGTTTAAGTTGTTGTCTAAAACAGCTCGTTATTCCATCTTCACTTAATGACAGGTTTGCAGACAAAAACCAAAGACAATGGCAGACAGCAATGAGATGACAATTAACCTTGTTGTCCTTGGAAGAACTCAGACTGGCAAAAGTGCTGCTGGGAACAGCTTGCTAGGAAGCTTGGACTTTGAAAGCCATCTCTCCCCAAGCTCAGTGACCACTTGTTGCAGCCTTGGGTACAGCTGCCGTATTTTGGGGATTACACGAAGAAATGGCTGTGAGCTAGTTCTCCGCGTTCGCGTACTTGACACTCCAAGCTACCCTCACAGCAGCCTGAGCAAAGAGCAGGTGAAAGACACAGTGAGATCTGCCCTGGCTCACCACTTCGGGGAGGAAGGTCTGCATCTTGCTCTTTTAGTCCTGAGGGCTGACTTGCCTCTGTGTCCAGATGAAAACGATCAAACAATTCAGTTCATCCAGGTAAGAAATAAATAGAAGTTTCTACTGTAATGGCAACTCCTTTTGTCTTTGGTTGAAAGTAACCATGGAGGCATTGACTGCAGATATGAATTAGAGAAGTGCAGCTAAAAATTGGAACACCCTCCAATCCATCAGCTGAAATACACACGTAATTACATTCACAGCTCTACCACGGTACACCATCATCATACATACCATATTGAACCTGAGAAAAGAAAAGAACCTCTATGCTGTAGTTGAATTCAACACTAGAGGCTTCTTTCTGGAATCAAATTTACTTATCAAAGTAGGTTTCTCTCACAGAAATTAGTTAAAGATTTGCTATGACACTTCTAGCTTGTTGAAGAGATGTGCTATTTGAAGTAAAAATTTGATTGCTTCACTCTCCTGTGGTCTGCATAGGATAGAGCACAGCCCAAAGCAGAGAACAATAGGTCCAAAATCATGCAGAAAGTCACTATAACTAACATTGTATCTATTCAAGGAGGAAAAAAAAATTAGAAAGTTAACAGATTTATTCTGGCAAAGGATATCTTCTAGCAATACTCACTTGAAACAAATAATCTATGTGGAAGAAAATTTTTGGAATTAGGTAAGATTTGCAAGAGAAGGTGACACTGAAAATGAATGCCTTTGCCTTCAGTGGAATCCATATATTTTTTTCTCATTGTTATCCTTCTTCATATATTTACACTTTTCCATTTCTCTAAACTTCATGTTATTTAAGAGGAATCAATGCTTTCATCTAGAGTTTTTACTTTAAGCCAATGAAAAATCATCTTGAGATTGTTTTGGATCAAGGCCACATGGCTGTTAAAAGCCTAGAAGATGCCCCTGTACCCTTCTCCTTTAATGGAGCTTTAAAAAGCCCTAGTAGAGATTAAATAAAACATGTTAAAACCAAAACAGTAAGAAAACACTTCCTTGTTTCTTAATTATAACTTATTTTAGTTATCTCTTTAAAAGGCTATCATGCTATGATTTCATCAGCCACCAACAAATGGGGCAGGACAGTCGTCTGAGTGCTGGGATTATGAATGACAATGGTTGTGTTTCAGTATGTTATTAGATGAAACTACCATGAGGACTACACTTTTAACGATAAGGAGTTCTCACAATAATCCTCTACGTATTAGGGATGGTTTATCAGTAATGCATATAGAAGACTACTGACATTTAATCCTGCATTTTTTAATCCAAGTCTAATGTATTAGGAGAGCGGCAGATACTGATCTCATAACTAATAATAGCACTGACTTATCTGAGTCCTCAGATAATTAAAGGCACCACTCTTCCTCTAAAACTAGCTTCTCAACTCTTCCACAGACAGCCTACACCAAAATAAAGCTTATTTTGCAGTTTATTTTTTTCCTCATCCCTAACACCTAAAACACATTAATCGCTATTAATACAACATAATCCTTTGTCTAACTCCTTGCTTATTTTGGGAATACAAAGATATCCTCTAAAACAGTTTTATGCATTTAAACTTTTAGCTTACAGTTTCTGAAATAACTATAAGGTGGACTTGAATAATACAGTAGTTTTCCTTTAACACAGACAGGTATTTGTATGATTGCACTGAAGTTGCTAATTCTTTTACAATTGTAACTTAAAGCCCTATCTCTTACTCATATTACTTTCTTTCATACTGACAAAAAGCCAGCTTGTTTTCCCTGTTCCCTTCCATCAAATGAACAACTGTAGTCAAAGAAATTCTCTGTCATTATTCCTGTGCTGCCAAGGACAGTTCAGTTTAAGAAGATACAGCAGTTATTGAAATCAGTGTTACATAAAATTATCTATTCACTGCAAGGTGATTTAGAAATCTTTTTTCAAAGAGCTTAGAGATAGTGTACAAGTATTTGTATGTAGAAAATAATGTAAGCTACTTGAATTTTACATATTATTTCCGATGATGCGTGATGTAGCTAAACAATAATTTTCATTATTTACATGTGGACACCTTTAACTGAAGAAACTAACATCTGCAGAACAGGTCAACTGTTAGCACTGCATGGCCACCTATTTCCACTAGAAGGCGATGCCAAGGTCTTTAAAGGTTGAAATCCCCAGAAATTTCAGCAACTCAGATAGCATAAACAGGATTACTGCCAGAAACAAAACATAAGCTGATCAGTTAGGTGGTGGAAGTAGAAAAAATGAGTAAGAAAAAACAATTATTTGAGATTTGTTTTTCATTGCAGGAACTTCTAGGTCCCAAATGGAAGGATTTCACTGCAGTTTTACTTACTCACGCAGACAAGGCAGAAGAAGCTGGATTCAGTGAGGAAGCATATTTGCACAAAGCTTCAAATACCCTGCTATCACTACTGAGCTCAGTACAGAACAAATATGTTTTCCTGGACAACCAGAAGAGCATAATTAAAGAGGAAAGAGCTACTGTCTTAAGAAAGCTCTTAAATTTTATAAGACAAAATAATTATCGAGTACTACTTAAACATGACAAGGAATAAAGTTAGCTTTCAGGTGCTCATTTGTCTATTTTCTATGCTATACAACATCTAATAAAACAGTAGATAAGACAGAATTTGAATCTTCAAGATCCCTACCAAATACCTCTGAATATACAACTGGAAATATCTCTTTAGATTACCAAACTACATGCCCTTCATAGAGTACCTCACACTATCAAATCCAGAATCCTAGTTTCAACCATATGAGAACAAGCTAGTACTCTAAATTATGCTCCTAATATGAGTGCAGTCAGTAATAAGATTTTATGCTACACCCTATTGTAAACTGCATTTCATACAGAACACAGATCTGGAAGAAAAAAAGCACATTAAAAAAGCTTTCCAGTAATAGAACTTAAGATTCATCTACTGTAAAGGTATTTCTTTACTTTGATTTAAAGGTTAAAACTGAAATTTTTGAACTTCAAGTATTTTCTTTAATAAGATATTACTGGGCACACAGTTTACAGGGCAGTTAAAAAAACTCCCCATGTGCTTAATGCTATTTGGCACACTTAGAATAACTTAATTTCTGCTGCTTATTCCCAAGCACATGAAAAATTAGCACAGTTAACTGTATAGGCACATACAGAACTCATCTGATAAAGATATGTTTATTTTTTCTTTTGTTTGTTTCCTTTTAATCTTGTACCATTACCACTTTGATTTTTTTTTTTTTCTTATCTCCCAGCTTACTATGTAAGTTCAAAGCCTATGAAATCCAAGTTGGGTAAGTTTCTTACATCAGCGGTTAGAGAAGTGCTTACCATGTGAGTAGTTAGACAGTAGACAGTTAATTAAATAGTACATGCTGAAACATGTGAAGCATTTCTAAATAGTTACTTTTGAAGTTTTATTGTGAATTGATCTGCAACGGTTACTTTCAGATTATTGAAAGGCAAGAGTTAAAAAGGAACAATTTAATGATAACACCATAGTATTTGTGCCTGTTTTAAATCCATTATTATGAATAATTCAAATAAAACCTAAAAGAAGCAATTTGTTTAAAAAAATCAAAGCATATTTCATACAAAATATTATTCAAAATATATATTAAAATGGAAAAAGATGCGTGTTTTGAGCATTGAAAACCAAGTCTTTCATATTTGACTCCATTTTCTTGACTATCTATTAGCTACTCATCCTTAATTAGTAATCTCCCTCACTAGGAAGGAACTATTGAGGTGGAAAAGGTGAAACTCCAGAACTATTTTAGCAAAGCAACATATTTGGTACATCATTTTGCATATTCTGGAGTATAGGGGACCATAGTTTAATACTCCCGTTACAACAGTTCGCAGACTACTCAGAAAACACAGCTGAAAACAAAGTTGCAGAAGTTTATAATATATCTGGAAAATGCTTAAGAGGACTGAAACTGTTGAAAGATGAAAAGAATGAAAACAGCTGCCGTCTTCTGACCAACTGTTAGCATTGAGGTTAGCACACAAGGAATAGGGCAGAAAGTTTTCCTTATTGAGATGCTCTTGCTTAATGGATCCTCTTAACTTTTCAGTTATCTAGAAAATACGATCATCAGCCTTTAGTCCTTCCATGAATGAGCCTTGGTAATTAATCACTGAGTGGTTAATGACTGCACAGAACACAACCTCAAAGAGAGTCAATATGGAGATGAGTGAATTGTTAGTGTAACAGGTATAACATTATGCATCTCTGGGAAAGGAATCAAACAAAAAAAAGCTATTAGACATGCATTTCAGAGGGTTATATATTCATGTTTTTTATTGTGCTCGCATTACTTTCCACTTCAACATCTGAACAAGGAGCTAGCAACCATTTATTTAATTCCATTGTTTGCCATGGTCTCTGCCCTGCAGACTCCTTTTCCTTTCACTTCAAATGGAACTCCTTTGTATGTAGCCACACACTGGTCATTGGTATGAAGATCAGGTTGGATTTGCTCCCAAATCTTCTTCTTGGGATTAAGTTCCTTCTCAGGATCTCCTGTTTCAAAACAAAGAACAACCTAATAGCACACAACACATAAGAAATAGCAAGAGCTCTATGTGAGCACACATTAGTGAGACCTCACATAGAATCTCTGTACAAGTTTTTAAGGGAAAGAAACATTACCTGTGAGTCTCAAAACAAAAGCTTTAATTTTAATTAGGGACCGCTTAGTATTTGTCTCCAGATCATCTCTCAAAAATGATGGTCTTTCAGAGGAAAAAGCACTGAAAGTAGCAGACCTTAACTCCTGTCTAAAGTCAAAAAATTGCTGGCTGTTGATTTATGTAATTTACCTAGAAGCAAAAGGATTTCTAAGAATTAAGCAGACGCAGACCATAACACAATGTAGAGCAATATATTGCTTAATAAGACACAGCTTTATCTATATCTTAATTTTAAGAATTAATGTATTTCTAGAACTTATATCAAAGGAATTTGGCAGGTGCCCTTACAGGTGAGAAATACATTTTAAAAAAACAAGAACACAAGAATCAAACCACCGATCCTAGACAATATATCCTCTCTGAGATTATTTCAGGGGAGCCAGAAGTTCCTATGGGCAAATGACAAGCTCCCTGTGAAAGCATAATGTCAAATACTTCATCCTTCCACTAATCAGTGTCCCCTGGAAGAGAAAAATCCCATTGCCTTATAGTACAAGGTGTATGTGTTTAGTTTCTAGTATTCTTCAGTGGCTTCTGACCAACACAAGTAAACAAATCACATTAATTCTAACCTCTCTTATTTTCTTCTTTAAACATTTTCAGTGATGCAATCTACTCCTGTTCTCAAATCTTGTAATACTAAGTTACTTCAGCCTGTAGATAGCTCTAACTTCTGTAGCTTCTATACCTGCAACTGTGCAAGAAAAGCACACCAGACCAAATTCTGTGTTAAGCAGACTATTGTTGCCAAAGTAGAATTTGCTAATTGCATTCAAGCTATTTCTCAATTGTAGTGCATGTAACATTTTAGAGAAAAACAGAATAAATAACCTAACTGCTTGGAGCTAAATGCGCATTTTCACAAAAATTAAAATTCTGTTCAATATTTAGGTTCTTAAAGACAGACTCAGACCGCAGTGAATATATAAAAACTAATAAAAATCGTTAAGTTGAATGTTAAAGGACCCATTTGGTTTTCCTCCTAAGAAATTGGATAGAGTATTTTAGCAGAGCATTTCCTTCCTTTGTCAAATACAGAAAGTTTCATTATAATAAACATTTTTGATGTTAATAAGTTCATTTGTAATTTCATATCAACTCTTGATCTGTGGTCAGCTCGTATTAGATCAGTATAGGCACCTATGTGCCAATTGTAAATACTACTTGAGTTTTAAGCTATGCATTTTTCTAAGCTTTCCCCTCATTGCATTTTCTTCCCTTCCAAAAATATTCATTAGAAGGTTTTCTAAAAATTAAATTCCATCTTGCAATGACTTAATGAGCTTCTCACTATAAAATAAAAAGAACCAAATAAAAGGAATCAATTTTTGCTAAATGTGTAATTTGGTCTAACAGTTTAAATACTACAGAAGAATTTACAGTAATAAGCAAGAAACCTCTTCACACTGTAACAGCTCACCTATGAAACGGCCTTATGAAATGTTAATACTGTTCACCCTGCTATGGAATATAATCACACAATTGTATCCATATAGAAATAGTTAAGAAACCTAGTGAATACAGACTATGCACTGCACTCCAGTTTTAGCACCTTATTTTTCATTTCTAAGAGCTAGATACTGATCAAAATGCTAGATTCTTACACCAGAACTAATATCAAATAACTTACATAATAACCTGTGGTTCCTGTGGCATTTTTGCATTTAAGAATTTTGCCAAAGCATCAATTATACTGGCACCAGCAAGATTCCTTAGTTAGCTTTGAAAGATCCTTGCTTTCACACAGCAACTCCTGTGTGGGAGTGCACACTTTACAGACAAGTGAATGAATAATCTTTCTCAGCCTTATGAGTCAGATCTTTTCCACTCGTGTTTGGTATAAACTTGGTAAAGTTCTTCATACAGGAAAGACCCAACAGATCTTGAAGATTCATGTATTAGTGTACAAAATGGTGTCAAAGTTCCCCCGAGGACAATGACATTAAGTAAGCTAAGAGTACTTCTCCAGACCAGAGCATTAGTTAGCAAGTGTTTCCTCCCCTAAAACACAGGAAGTGATTTAAAAAAAACTCTGAAGCTTCAAAGTAATTGTTAATTTCTCTGAAGAAACAAGACTTCTTTAACAAAAAAGTCAACAGGAAAATTAGGTTATTTCTCATTAATACTCTGTATGGTGGAGAGTAGGTTTAAAAAACACATTGATTGCAATCTGCTTGATGGACAGCTGTGTTTTAGCTGCGTTCCTCTTGCTCCAGTTGCTGCTCCAGTTGCTTCATAAGCTTTCATACTTCAATCCAGAATCAGATCTAGACATCATTACTATTTTTTCATTTCAATGACTCAGCGTTTACACTTCAAAACCACCCTTAAAAATTACATCAGAACATAAATGATTGCAATTTTAGCAGTTCTGAACTGTATCAGAATATCAACAATTACAATTGAGCAGTGATATTAAATGACATCTGACATAGTAGGGTTTATCCATTAGCAGGGTTTACTCTACAGCTTTGAATGGGTATTCCTACTATTTAGCCATTCAATTGTAGCCTCTCAAAATTCAGTGTGCATTACATGCATCCAGCTTAACCAGTTCTGCATCTAAACTAGCAAGTTTCATGTCTTTCTAAAACGGGCAGCATTTTTATTTTCAAGATTGATACCCTCTTAGTAAGTCAAGTATACTCAGCTATTTTCAAATATAGTATTAAATCAAAGAAAATTGAGCTTTCCTCCCATTTCCTAAGAAGTTGGATAGAACATTGCTTTCATCATCATATGCCAACCAAAATACTTATTTTTAAACAAGCATCAGTTTTAGTAATGAGGTTGATATGTTTGTATGTTGAGAACAGAAGTATAATCCTTCGCATGTAAAAGAAAAGTACATTTTTGAGCAACAAAGTTATGACACTTTTTCTAGAGGTAGGGCCTGGAGTCAGAAACTTGAGACACCGTGCAAGTTACTTTATATTCCTATGCTTTACATTTGCTAAATGCAACAAGAAAATGTGTTTGCTCAAACATATGCAAAACAGAAACACTTGTTAAGACTAACTTTTAAGAAACGGAATAATTTTAATACTACTGCACTGCATCACATTTAGAAGTATTTCCCTGCATTCTCAAACTTTTGGTTGAATATTTTCAGTCCTTTATTTACACAATTCTAGCATGCTAATAAAGAGTTTTAATATAAGAAGTTCTGATGGTTTCAACCAAAATGCAATCGGCTTTAAAAGATTGTTCTCTCTTCTTTAGAAGTGATGTCACCTTTGCAAATGTGAACTGCCTCCTATTTCCTTCAATTTCCTTATTTCTCAAGTATCAACTACTTACCTGGAAAACCTTCAAAAGTGATTCTGTCCCCAGCTACCGCCCCGGGTGGAGGAGCCAGAATTTCCACTTTTTCTGGGGAGCTGGCACACATCACCATTGCTTGAGATACTACTCCTCTCATCTTCGCAGGCTTCAAGTTACAGAGCAGTATTGCCATCCGATTCTGCATCTTGGGGAAGGAAACAGAACAATGTATTTAAATGCCACATGCTGAAACAGCTAATTTCATTCTAACAAAAGAATTACAATGAAGATACTTCAACATACACGAGAAAAGTACAAAACAGATGCACAATTTTAATGTCTGCACACTAGTAAGAACACCTAAACTGCTCAAGGGTTAGTTTGTGAACATTCAAGATGGAGTAAAGGGTGAACTATGGCACTTATAAAGAACCTATGAAGTGTGCAGTACAGAAATCCGAGAGCCAGATAAAACCATTTCACCCACATTCCTTCTTTTCTTGAACTAAGTCACCATTTCAGTACACTCTCAGTGTACTGCAACAAAAGATTTCATGGATAAATGGTAAGACGACCAACAAGATTCATATAGTCATTTTATACAACAACAAAAAACAAGATGATCAGCCAAAACCATAACACTGCTATTTAAAGTGGCTTCCTTTTGCTTTTTTTTCCCCATCACAAATGGCTCAATCTTTGAACTGTCTACAGAAAAATAACAAACTCATGTCTGTAGAGGAAAAAGCAGCCAGACCTAAATAAATTCTAACAATGCAAAAGTTTTAAGTGATCTAAGAAAAAAAGTGCTGTAATACATGGAGACCTTTGTAAGAACTGTAATATAACCTTATATTGTGAATGGATTCGGAATTTATAGAGAGGGGCAAATCAATAAAAAACATACTATTTCACTAAGAAAATTCATTTACACTAGTTTGAGTATGCAGAAGCTTAAAATGTAGAAAAGGTTGAGAAACAAAAAACAAGCACAAAATAAATTGGAGGACTTTCTGATAGATAAGATTGGATAAAGGGAAAATGAGAAGAAACCTGACTCACTTTCCCAGTAAGTATGTAAAAAGTTCTATTACAAACACAGCTTTGCTGAAAAGCAGGTGAAGACGACACAAACAGTTGTCCTGGTTTCAGCTGAGGCAGAGCTGATTTTCTTCACAGTGCCTGGTATGATGTTATGTTTTGGCTTTAGGAGAAAAACAATGATAACACACCAATCTTCTAGTTGTTGCTGAGCAGTGCTGCACACAGCCAAGAACATTTCAGTTTTTCAATTCCTCATACTGCCATGCCAGCAAGGGGGCCAGGGGAGCACAAGGAACTGAGAGGGGATAGCAACAGGACAACTGACATAAACTGGTCAAAGGATATTCCATACCATATGGTACCACGTAAAAGAACTTAAAGACTGAGCGGAGTTAACCAGGGTGGGCAGTGGCTACCAGTGGACTGGCTGGGCACTGGTTGGCAGGTGTTGAGAAACTGCTCATGTATCACTTGTTTTGTAAACACACACACACTCTACTACTACTACTACTACTACTCTCTTCCTTTTCCGTATTAGTAAATAGTTTTTACCTCAACCCACAAGTTCTATTTTTCTTCTCTCCCCCCCCTTTGTCCCCCCTCTCCACCAATTCTCATCCCATCCCATTGGGGCATGATGATGGGGGCAACCAGCAAGAGGCTGTCTGGTTTTTAGCTGCCTGCCACATTAAACAACAACAGTGGATGTCTCTCTCTTTGCTCACATGTGTTTTTTTTTCCTAGAAAAATTGTATTTAAAAATAAGAGGGCAAATCTCTATTCTTAAAATGACACAAACAGAAGCATATTTGTATCAGAGAGCTTGATAAGGTGCTCAGATATAAAACAAGCTGACAACCAAGGGAAATCTGAATGTTATTTTAGCTGACTTGCTAAATGCATAGTACTGTTGTTTCAGAAATACAGAACTTCAAAACTAACTAGACTGCTGAGAAAGTTTCAGCAGCCCTGTTACAATAAGTCAGTTTCTACGGCTGGACAAGCAGCTACTTCACATTCACAGTAAAACAGCACACTTTCCCAATATACTGGTAGAATGGAGCAGAAAACATGGAGGAAAACCAAACTAAAAGAGGGAAAAGTTAATCCTGAGATTTACCATACAAAAAAGCCAAGAGTTCATCCTTGAAGTATTTAATTGCTCATTTTCTTACATAATCCTTGAAGTTAGAGGGATATTTGGCAGTGAGTTCTACAGCTATCTCAAAACAAGATAGTATGACAGACAAGCTAGTAAATATAAAATTAGTACAGATTGCTTTAAAACCAGAGTAATCTGCCACGTCTGGAGCAACAAAAAGCCCTGAATTAATCCTCTTTTTTTTCCTCTGCAAATTGCTTTGTATCCTTAGTCCTTCACTTCTGATGACTGATGTGAGGTTCTTAGGTCAAAGGGGATTTCAGAACAGGAAAGAAAAATGAAAATAAACAGGGTTATTTAAAAATTGTGTAAATTTCAAGAATCATTACCCAAAACGGATCTTATTGCTAGGAGCACACGGAGATCCACTTCAGAAAGTAAATGCAGTGGCAATAAAGCCACCAACTTCCGCAAATGGTTCAGAATCTTGAGCTGTCTCCAGCGACTGTTCAAAAAGCTCACAACTGGCATGATCTACTTCATGTTTATGTACCAACACCTATTATGCATGACTCATTCTGTACATGGTATCTTAGGGTGCAACTTTTCACCTGGTTTCACCAGCAGTGGTGCACAAAAACACACTGTACTGCATATTAGTGGGCATACAAGACGTTTTCACATCCGTAAATGACTTACACCACAGACTGAAAAGGTTATGAATATATACACTGCTCTTACTAAACAAAAGTAAAATCAGATGACACAGCCTGCTGTACTGTGATATCAATCATTGCAACTATAAACAGCTGAACTTTTGGTGAGGTATTTTTCCAGCACTATATTTGATGTATACATTTTTATTTAAATATATGTCAGTAGTCACAAGCCAGGGCTTGACATTCCTGAACACTGCAAAAACAACGAGATTGAAGCTTGCCCCAGAGGATTTACTAAGAGATTTACCAAAATTAAAACAAGACATTCAAATTATTCCTACTGAATGTGCAATAACAACACCTAATTCAGTATTAATATTTTTTGGATTGTTTTTACAGACAAATCAACATAAAAAGAACTGCTACTGTTGCTGCATTTTGTACACTTCAAGTTCATAAGCTTATTTAGAAAAAAATGATTTCTTTTTTTATCTAAGTGCCTTTTTAAAAGCAGACTGCTGAAAATGAGCAATTTGAATTTGTGCCCATTGTAAATTCATTAACTGGACACTAATAGGTAATCAGTGCAGAACAGTTATTGCACTGTTTTGTTCAGTTCAATAACTTTCTGTATCATAAAAACCACAACACAATTTTAACTGCCTTCTTCATTTGCAGTCTCACTGTGAGGAGAGGCTGTGAATAGAAATTGAAAAGGCACTTGAGAAAACCTAGCTTTTCCATAGTAAGATCAACTCCTTTATGACCAGTTTTCCCAGTTACTGTATAAATTTCTTTAATTGCAAAGGCTGCACTTAAACATAGAAGCAGCCTTCAGTCAATTTCTCCTTTCCCTAGAGGAGGTGTGAAAGGAAAACATTATCTTAGTGTCCCAGTTTAGGAAACACAATAGCGTATGAAGTGACAAATTGACAGAGGCAGACTCACTTCTTGTCAAGGAAGTAAAAATCCACATTTTGTACTCCGCAGTTTTTTAAGCTGCTCACTACCAGCTAGTTCTGATTGTAACTATGATTTACTCACTCTTTTTCCTCCATGCAAAACGTTTCAATGGGCAAGAAAAGGAAAGCAAAGCTTTCAAAAGTCTAGATGATGGTGAAAACATTACTACAGGCTGTCCACAGTATACTAGGGATCCTAAAGGAAGAGTCAGATCTGTTTAATCTAGGTGTATACTGCATACCAAAGGTATCAAAATAGTCAGAATAAGGTCCCACAACAGACTGTAAGGAGAAAAACTGACATGAGGAATGGGTACTTTTTTTTTTTGCTAACATTGAAGACTACTCTCACCTCTTTGTTTTTAGCTGTACAAATCTTTTAGCAGAATGAAAACACACTCATTAAAAAACAGTCAATGGTCACAAGGTACTTCAGAAAAGGATGAAGAAATATTGTTAGTACCTGATCCAGGGGAACATATTTCACTAAACCACTGACAACAGTCCTTGGGCTCGCTTCACCAACATCCACCTTTTCAACATACAACAAGTCTGCATCTGGGTGCTTTTCCGCGGTAATAATGCAGCCAACACGAAGATCCAGACGAGATACATCTACAGGTTTTGAATCGCTACTTCCAGCAGCTGGCTGCTGTTTCTTCTCCTTCTTATCACCTATTGAAATTTAGTTTAAGAAACATTAAAGAAAATAGCATGAAGTCATGTATGTTAGTAATTACAAGGGAAAAGCCAGCTACCATCTCAGAATCAAGCATAAATTCAGTACAAAATGCAAATAAACAGTAAGATTTAGCACCTCTGTTACTAGTTTCTAGAAAAGAATCATCTTACACCTTCCCATTTAGATTGTTACTACGAGTTCCATCCTAAGGCAGAGTTGCTTTCTTAATGAAGTCATTGTGACTTAAAACATGGCTAACATGCAAAGTATCCTCTGCCAAAAGCCACACTGATAAGCCCAAGAATAGTTTTAATAATTTGGAACTACCATTACATTTTGCCTTGGTGTTTCACGAAACACTCAAAGCTAGACAAACAAGTAATAAAGTTACTAGTGCTTAACAATTGCTCCTGAGGGTGGGCTGACTCCACATCACTGCAACTGCAGTGTTACAGTTGCAAAGCAACCCTTCCAAATGACCTTAACTGACATTATTTGTTCCACAAATACACTGTTACAACTGTATACTCAAATCTTACAAAATTTTACTGATAACAGCATTTACTCAGTCACAACACAGATGTTTGTTATCACCTATACATACACTGTATACCATAAAACCAAAGTGAAGCAGTATTAAGCACAACTTCTTAGAAATTTTTCTGTGACAAGGAAGTTATATCCAGTTTACACAGACTGTCTTGTTTGAATGACATTCATAATTACAATGAACAATGATACATATGGTATAAAAAACATGTAAAAAATTGAAATAAGAAATTTATTCTTACATTCAAGAAAACTTAACTATCACCATGAGCTAAATTCCCTTCTCTGATGTGAACTAAAAACTCTCCTTCCTATGAGTGGGGCCAGAGAAGCAAATTACATTATCATTAATTAAAGTACGAGGATGAAATTATACCATGTGCTCAAACATTTGGGGAAAACAAGATTTTTTCTTCTTTATATTATTTTTGTTTTTGTTTAAACCAAGTAATAGCTCTTCAAAACTATTTTAGTTTATGTATGATCAAAAGTGCTAGCATTTACAGCAAAATATAATTATGTGTACTACAGGTATATGTAATTAAAGATGACTTCTGTTTGGTTTTGGGGGGTGTGGCTTGTTTCTGTTTGTGTGAATATAGTTGTAACTTTTTAAATAAGGGAGTTCAGTTATATTAAAAAAATTTGGTGTATCTCACTTAAGAACTTTCACCTTAACAGCCTTTGTTAGCTACAAGTTCTCCTGAGAATTTAAGAGTTAGCACATACTCTTCTTCATGTGACCATGAGCTGTATATATTTTTTTGTTTTGCTACTACCCAGAACGATGTAAAAGCACAAATCCAACAATTTTTATGTCTACCACAATTAAGAAAAAGCAAAATACCTTTTTTTTCTATTTTTTCCTTCTTTTTCTTTTCTTCATCTTCACCTTTAATGTGATCTTTGGAACCAGATGATGCAACTGCTGTAGGCTGTGGAACATCTTCTGAAAATGAAGCTGTAGAAACAGTTGTACCAGAAGGAACTGCAACCTGTTTTACTAAGAATTAAGAATATATAAATCAGAAAGGGTGCTAAAACATGGAGAAACACAACACCAAGTTTCTAGTATTAATGAAGTAGAGACATGAAAATTTTGCTTTAAACACCTAAAAACTCACAAGTACTGAGCAGTTAAGTGCATTACAAATCCAACAACAGAACTCACCATATATGTGATTATCCTGATGACTTATTCTGATGACAAGAATGAAGCCTTTGACTACATTTTTTTTTTAATTGGGAAAAAACACTACCCACCTTACTATTTATCTCATCAGATAAAGCATTAGAAACCCATTCCTTCTACCTCATACTCTTCAAAGATCTCATTTAACACATCATTGCACTGTGTAATCATCGTTGATGACTGACTGACAAACATGTTGTGTCACTGTAGTTCTGCATTCTGCATACACACTTCTTTTAAATATTTAATAACTTTTCTAAAGAATTGTGCTCTCTTCTACAAATGATTTGCACCAATTACTTATTTTTTTAAAAAATATTTTAATTTGAGATTTTGTTGCACAGCCACTTGCCATCTTAATTGCTTCTTGTGGAAAGACAGTATCTCAAAAATCTGAGAAATTAAAAGTCTTAAGGGATTTTTTTTTACCATTCTAAATTTGTCTGGTTGGTGTTTTTTGTTCAAATGTTTCAGACTTGCACAGCCAAAACATACAAATTTAATTCAAAATAGAATATCTGAATTTATTCCTACCAGCTTTTAGAAAAACTAGACTGAAAAAAAGATGTATGTGAAGCAAAATATTTCCTTACTTTACTTCAGTATAACCCCATCTTGAACAACAAGAACTACACATCTCAGGACTTCACTCTACAGCCTAAAACAAATTTGGCCAAATAAGCCATACCCACTTATGAAGTAACATACAGAATAACAGGTCACAGAAATATGAACTAATGATTTGGTTTAGTACATGTGAAGGCTTTATTTTCAAAAGGAGAAAAAGACCATGAATTTATAAAGCACTAGACTTTTTGAAAACTTTATGTGTTGTTTTGCAGTAAAAGTCACTCTGGTTGAATGCTAGCATCTATCCACACTGGGTACTACCTTACCCAATTTATAACACTGACAGTTTGGATAGAAATACTAATATTTGTGTAAGGTGGAAGAGGCTTTATTTGAAAATAGTTTTGAAGAAAATATGCCACATGTGTAATGCTTCATTTTCACTTCTCCCTTTTTTAATAGAGAATTATGGTGTGAGCTGAATTGAGTTGAACAGAAGAGTGCAAAGAAAGAAAAACAGTGCAATGAAAGGCTGGTCTTATCAGAGAATTAGATAAAAATTCAAGACAGTTTCTAATTTTGTATTGCCACAGATTTCTAGTAAGACACTGTCCATCTGTTTGTTGAACAATTACATAATTTTCTATAGGGATTTCAGTCAGGTTAGATCAAATATGAGACTACAAAGAAGTGTTAAATAGTCATCAGTTTTCAGAGTATTTTAAGTACTTACTGACATCATTCAAGATTGGGACTCGTTATAAAAGGTGATGTTAGAAAAGACCATGCAAAGAGGCAGTTCCACATCTGATAAAGATTTGGCACATATGTCTATTATGCTTGCAGCTTACTAAAACAGTGGAAGTAGGTACCTTGCAATAGACATAGAATCTAGAAAAATTCAGAGTTTGTAAGAGATGCCATAGACACACATACCAAAAGACAAAGACAGCACAAGACATGGAATCTGAATTGGAAGGAACCTATAAAGGCCATTGGGCAACTCCCCTGCAATGAATAATGACACCTACAGCTCCATCAGGTTGCTCAGAGCCTCTCCAGCCTGACCTCAGCTGTCTCCAAGAGCAGGGCATCTATCACGATCTCTCTGGACAACCTGCTCCAGCGTTTCACCACCCTTAACATAAAAAACACTTTTCCTATATCCAATCAAAATCTTCCCTTTTAATACGAAACCATTTCCCTTCATCCTATCACAACACACCCTAAAGAGTTTATCCCCTTCACAAACTAACTACACACATCTAAGAACTAATTAGATCTTTGTTGCCTGAAGACAGGACTTTTGTTCCCACCTCCATTTCGAATTTCAGCCTGAATCAGCTCCTGTTTCAGCCCTTCAATTTCTTTCTTCAGTTTTGCATTTTCCACACGGAGCTTCTTCTCTTCTCGGAGAGATGCCTGCAAGACTACAAGTTCACACAATGTTAAAAACAATAAGTTAGAATAATTAGCATTTACCACTTGACAGAGATTTTGTTAAAAAAAAGAAACCTGATGTGCCAAGCATCAAAAAACCTTAAAAGAGTACATTACTAGCTGTATTTAGGAATCTGCTTTTTCATTGGTTAAAACTTGCTTTAAAAAAATCCACAATACTTATATACTTCAGTTGCCTTTCAACATACTACTTTTTCAGTCTTCTAAACTGATTACTAAGAGGAAATTCCAAGAAATCTACTAAACGAAGTTTGAACATGTTTGTAATATGGAACATCTTCATTCACTGATCCTGATTTGTATGAACTATCAAATTTGGCACTACAATGCTCTCAAGAGAATCCCATAGTGGTGAAAAGCAGCAATAGAAGCATGCCAATGCATAAGTCTCATATCATTCCCAAATGCCTTTCACCCCTAAAAAATGAAAAGTGTCCTATCAAATTACCATTATCTGTTTATGTCATTATTCTTTCATCCATGCTTCTGTACTTCAGAATAAGCAGCTTCAAAAAACTCACAAACCACAAGGCAGTGAAGAGGTGCTACCATTACAAGCTTTATCTCAGAGAACTTAAAGGGCTGACAGCATTAATGAATTTATTCATGTCCTGTATTTTTTTCCTATGAGCATTTCATTTCAACCATCTGGTTAACAAGTTGATTGTAAGACAGAATTCCTTACTAGCTTTCTCTTTGAGCAGGGCAATTTGCTGTTTGAGGTATTCAATAACTTGATCAGCCTCTGCACCCTTCTGCTCCAGTCTGTTCAGCACTGCATTGTTAGCTGCCATCTTCATCAAAAAACGGGCTAAAAACCTAGACAAATAACAGAGTTTAAAGATTAATTACTTCTTAATTGATAATTATTGATAATTAACGTCCCATCTCTTACCACAAGAAGCAGTTCTAAAATCAGTTGCTAAGTAAGGAAATCTGCAATTTAAACAAACTGGGCTTCTACCTCCTGAAGCTAAGCTCAAACAAAAAGCAAAATTAATGTTTGACAGCTGCTTTTAAGTACTATATAGAAGAAAAACAACTTTTCTTCCTACTGCAGAAAACATTTGAGAAAGAATGAGAAAGGTCTAAAGATATGAATGTATTAATACACAGAAAAAAGGGAAATAGAAGGGAAAAGGTTACACTATAAAAGAATGTTTCTTCATTTTATTGGAAAAAATTATTAACCGCACCCAGAATTTCCTTAAAAGAAAACAGAAACATCTCAGAAAAATTTACAAAACCCTCTAATAACCTGACTCAGGACGTACTGAATTCTTTATACATTGTAGATACACATACATTAAGGAAATACTTATTTTTAAGCAGAATTCATCAGCATTTATATTCATCTCTGATTAATGCAAGTTTTACTGCAGGTTTCTAGCTTCAGTTTTTATTTTAGCACTGATTTTGTTAGCCTCATTTTGTTTCCACTGAAATGGAAGGCCAGGCATGCAGGTAACAAATTCAAGGAACAGGAAATACAAAACAGTGTAAAAACAAATAAATGCTGCCTAATTTTCCTTCAGAACATCCAACTTCTTTTATTGGCTTTCACTACTGCTCCAGAAACAAGCAATGCCTCACGTGAAATCCTAATTTGTTGAATCCTACCAAGTATGGTCCACTTCTTTCCTTGTACCATTTGCATCTAAATATAATCAACAGAATGATGAAACAGACATTCGTTTCTGCAACAGATTGTGTTTTTACCCTCTGTCCAGTACCTACAGGATAAAATATTCTGTACTGACAACAGCTTTATCTACAAATCAACCAACATCCCAAGATGCCTTGTCGATTTTCACAAGTAACAGTAATATAATTCCCGTGAATTTGCCCATCAAATGCAACAAAGGGAAGACCTAGTAAGAAAATGGTGATCCATATCACTGCATTGGCTCCCAAACCTCTAGCAAAGCCCCTAAAAGCCTTTTCTCATATCAAATTGGCAAGAAAGGATCCCATTTTATTGTGAGATTACTCTGACACCGTGACTTAAGACTGTTTTTAACATATGAATACTCTCTGGTGGGAGTTGCAACAGAAGCCACAGGGCTGACAAAACAACTTAAAAATAGCTCAAAGGTAAACAGGCACAATCACACTTTTCATAACATTAATGCAGCACTTTAGCTGTACTCTCACTGGCAGCTTAACATTTCATGCCCTATCTATAACTACATATGAACTCAGAGCTATGTAGCAGCTATACAGCACTCTTCCCCCCTTTTTTTTTTTTGAGCAAACTACCAAAGGTGACACTGAATTGGTAGCCGTAGTGCAATTAAAAGTTCTCTAAGTAAAATTCACAAAGACAAAGAGACTGTAGTCTAAGCAGATGGTACACAAGTTTTAGTCTTCCTGAAAGTGATGAATGAACATATTTTTCCTTCTTTGTAATCTTATGCAATGCAAGCTTGTTTTACACAAATCTATTTCATAAGACAGAAAAGTATTACTGTCTTCTCACTCTCTACTGGTCCACAAGAGATTTCTTTTTTAAAAGCAAGAAAAACTTGTGGAGAAAGAAGTGGTAGAACCATCTCCTCAGGACATCTAAAGTCATTTTAATATTCAAACTTATCTCTGCATTGAGAAAATATTTTTTCCATGTGCAACATGCAAAATCCATTATTTCTGAGGTCTAAAAGAAAGCCAGGCACTTAAAGTGACTCCAATAAGTTACCAATTTAGATGTCAACTGGAAATAAACATAAAAATATTATAGCACAACACAGCACAGTACAAAGCCTGGGGTATTACTGTCTGCATACCAATAAGATCTCTCACAAGCTACATTCTCTCTGTGGAACACAATACTAACAGAGCAAACTCTGCCAACAACAACAGAGATGCTACTAAAACTTCAAAGTGAATGGAATTGGTACACTTTACAGGTTTTAGCCAAGTTGGCTAATGAACTGAAGATCTGGAAATAAAGTTACCTGATTACAATGGGTAGACATTTTCCCACTTGTCAAATAAATTTCTGTAGACCTAGTATTGCAATAACACAAGGAATAGGTATTTCCGATACTAACATAAAGAGCCAACGGGCCGAAATGAAGTGCTGTGCAGGCACGTGAACCCATAAAGCAGTGTGATAAAACTGTATCCAAAAAGGGCACAATTTCATTTCTTTAAGATCCACCCTTGCTATAAAACAAAGCACATTAAAATTGTTACTATTGGAACAATCAAAGTTTATACTCTGCAGCCTGTTCTTTCCCATCCCTTATTTCCTTTGCTCTCTGTTACTTCACCCAGCCCAGAAGGAAAACGATTGGTGATGTACAAACTATAAGAAAATTGAACAACATAACACAAAGAAAAGAATCTTAACTTCTTACAGATAGATTTTCATTTAATTATTTGCATGTTTGTGTTACAGAAAACATTCCAGAGCCAACTGAAAGTCACTTCTTACAGTTGTGTCTTACGAACTGCTTTTCTTACCTTGAGATAGGGTAAAACCGCTGAGAAAAACAAATCCTGAGGAGCTATAGCAGTGGGACAAATGTTCTGATAAGAGTAGCTGCCTAGAATTACCTGGGTGTATTTAGCTAAGAGAAACTGCTTAATCTCAAAGCTCCGATTCCTACTTTGTTACCCACAAGATCTTTAGTGCTGCCTCCAAACCAACAGTTTCCCAATAATGGAACTCAACAATCAAATGAAATATATAACTTCACAAATAACTATAGGGGATGTATGAAAGGATTGTTTAATTTCTCATCATTCTATGTCCTGACTTTAAAGTGCTGTCTATCTACTTCAACAGAAAGCACGGCTCGTTGTGGTCTCCGAAGTATTTGCAGTCCCCTAGTACAATAAAACAGGCATCTGTTTCCCAAAAACACCCAATGCAGAAGGTTCCCAAAAGTGGAATACCGTAAATCAATATTACCCATATAGCACAAACTACCCCCAAAATGTCAATGTTTTACGCTAGTTTATCAGAATTGGTTTAGACATTAGACTACATTCAGATAAAAAAATGAAGACACTGATAGGGGACTAAAAATCTAAACTTTGTTGCACCTTACTTTTCAATGTTATGTTTCCTAAAGAAACAAAAAGCCAAACCCCCCATAAAATTAATGACAAGATTTAGAACAAACTAAAAATTGTGTTTGGAATCTATCCATGGTCCAAACATGGAACCAATTACTTTTTGCTATTGGAAAAGCAATCATTTAACCAAAAAACAGAAATTGGAAGCCAACTGACTCCTAAAACCTACAATAATTAGCTCCAAACATTCCATTTTCCAGCTGCAAGTTTGTTGTTTTATTTTAAAGCCAGTATTTTAAAGCTCTCAGCTTATCTTGCAATGCTTTTTAATGTCAGCACACAAAGAAAGATTACTAACTGTATGAGATCTGAACTGCAGGCTGCTGTTCCCTGTGTATGCACTGACGATATCTGTAATGGCAAGATAGTTTTTATTTTACCATTTTGAAATCAGTAAGTTTTACACATATTAACAGGCATTTTATTTCTCATCCTTATTCTTTCCTACAGGTCTTGGTGCAACACCACCAAATGCATTCCATTTGCACTTGGGCATACATTGAGATAAAGAAAATGTCAAATCTTGCCACAAATAATGTAAAAACAATCATCCCAACTCCTGCTTCTCACCTCTTCCTCTCCCATACCTACTCTCACCCACAGACAATCAGAGGCTGAGCCAGCAGAGCTCACTGCACCAGGCTCCGAAGCAGACCTGCCGCTGGCCAGAGCTGAGCCCTGAGCAGTGCTGGTTGTGCCTCTGGGAGAGGGAGATGCAAGAAATGAGAAACCGCTGTATAACAGCAGCTAGGAGAGAAGTTCAGCTGGTCATTGGTGTGAAACCATGACAAACAAAAAGCAACTGTTGAAACAAGTTTGCTTTTTGGTTGAAGTGCCCTGTTCATATTAAAGCTTGTCTTTACAAAACAGAACCTGTGGGATCAACATTATTCTAAGAGTTACCAACAACACAAAGGTAACAAAATTTCTCCAAAGCAAAATATGTTTACAGCAATTTTTCTTCTTAAGCTTTTGATCTTAAGTTTCAAGTAGTTCTCAAATGAAACTGTCTTGTTTCTTTCATGAGATGTCTCAAGATGTGCCAAGGGTTTCAGCTCGTATTGCAACACATTCTACTTTCTGTAAAAGACAAGTATCAACAACTCTTTGTTTCTGCAAGAAGTGTGTTCAAAGACTTCTCTCTGAGCATCTTTTTCTGAAATGGTCATTTCTGGCAGACAATCTTACAAAAACCCATAAATGTAACAGAACATGCCAGCTGTTCACCAGATTCTGCTTTCCTGTGCTTTGCACTTCCATGAACTATCAGGACACACAGCAAAGCAGATTTAAGAATCTCACATCACACCTTTTTATTCTGCAACCTAAGGAACAGTAGTGATCAGATCAAAACAGGAGAGCGAAGGTATGCTATCTTTTACTCAATTGAAAGATCACCGCAATAAAAATGTTCTTGAGATGAGAATATGGGGCAACTTACAACAGGGGCAGAATTCATGCTTTACAACATATTTTCTCTTATTGTCTCCTCTTAATCTCTGATAAACTATTCTAGACCTGATGCTGTAAATACTTTAGGATAAAATTTGCAGTGTCTAATTTCATTTCACTTTTTTTTGGTATGAAAAAAGGGCTTCGTTTCCTGAACTACACATTTAAGTTCTTAAACCACAGAAGTAGGCTATGGCTGATTACTTCTGACATCAAGTCTTTATTTTCATTTGAACACCTCCCTACTTCAGTCACAGAAGTACAGAATATGTGCAGCAGCCCAA